CTGCTGAACGTGAAAAGGTCCTCCCATGTGGCATCTTCAGGTGGGCTGTGCAACCACTGAACCAGGACCTGCTTCTGACCTTTACCTTGCACTTGGTGAACTCGTCCTGCCAGCACCGCCACAGGTTGAAGCAGGGGTCTGTTTGCAATGCTGCGCTCTGGTAAGGGGTAACAAGTATCCGACTTATCTCTGTTATAAGCTTTCAACAAGGACACGTGAAATGTTAAGTGGATCTTGCTTCCTAGTGGCAAGGCCAGGGTATACGCCACTGAACCGACCCGAGCAATGATTGGGAATGGGCCAAAATAGCGATGGCAAAGCTTGGAATTCAACTGGGAAGCTACCGTAACCTGTCGGTACGGTTGGAGCTTGACCAAGACCAAGTCCCCCACTTGGAATTGGATGTCTTGTCTTTTTTTGTTGGCTTGCTGTATCATCCGGTTCCGAGCTTGGAGTAAATTCTTCTTGAGCTGCTGTAAAATAGAATCTCTGGTGAGCAAATCATTTTCCACTGCTTGGACTGACGTAGCTCCCTGTACATATGCTAGAATGGTGGGCGGGGTTCGGCCGTAAACGGCCTGAAATGGAGTCATACCGATGGAAGAGTGATGACTAGTATTATAATGATACTCAGCCCAACTAAGGAAGTTGCCCCACTATTTTGGACTATCAGGAGTGAATACTCAGAGGTACTGCTCGAGGTAGTGGTTCGTCACTTCGGTTTGACCATCCGTTTGAGGGTGGTAAGAGGAACTCATCTTCAACTTCGTGCCCAAGAATTCAAAGAGCTTCTTCCAGAAATGACTGGTGAAAATAGGATCACAATCGGAGACTAGAGTGCGGGGAACCCCATGTAGACGTATCACCATGTGGGTGAACAACTCCGCTACCTTAGAGGCTATGAAACTAGTTGGAAGAGCTCTAAAGTGGGCGTACTTCGTTAGGCGATCAATGACCACAAGAATCGTGGTGTACCCACGGGAGTTAGGAAGACCAACTATAAAATCCAAAGCCAAGTCTTCCCATATCCTCTCAGGCATTTCTAGGGGATGTAATAAACCATTAGGTGCAGCTGTGGAATACTTAATGGTCTGACATGTGGTACATTGAGAAACAAACTCCTTCACTTCGCTACGCATTCATTCCCAACAAAAATTAGCACTAAGTCAGAGAAAGGTTATCTCGACTCCTGCGTGGCCGCCGGTCGGAGTCTCATGAAATTCTTGGAGCAGGAGCTTCTTGAACCGTGAAGTCTTGCTGACCACCAACCTGTTCTTAAACAACAACAGTCCATCTCGAATACTAAAATTGGAACTAGTCAATGTACCTTTAATTATTTGTTGCTGCAAGTCCCTAAGGTCCGGGCACTCATCATTTTCCCTTCGTAGGTCATCTAAGAAATCACACCTGCCAGCTGAGAGTGCAGCCCATAGTTGGCCGTTGGGGTTGTCATGCCGCTGAGATAGTGCATTGGCCGCTGAATTCTCTGACCCTGCCTTGTATTCTATGGAAAACTGATATCCCCTTAGCTTCCTGAGATAGTGCTGCTGATCAGGGGTTTGAATTACTTAGGTGAGGAGCTCTTTGAGACTTAGATGGTCAGTTCGAATTATGAATTGTCTGCCCAGCAGGTATTGTCGCCATTTAGCGACCACCTCGACGACCGCTTTTAATTCCCGCAAGTACATTGAAGCACCTATCAAGTGCGGCCCCAACTTCTTGCTGAAGAATGCTAAAGGATGCCCGTCTTGCATCAAGACTGCACCTATGCCGACATTCGAAGCATCGATTTCCACAACAAA